GAAGCTTCTGTTTAGACAGATAGTAAAACATTATCTAAGTGATTATATGCCTCAGCTCTCGCAAAAGGCATCACAGGACCAAAAGTAAATAAACCTTCTCCCTTTAAAGAAAACAAGATCATCAGGCATCAGTCATGCTCCCATGAAGATATTTTCACTGAATTCAACAGACATAGCAGAGAGCCCTTGCTGAGCCCAGAGTCCACAGAAAATGTCAAAAGAATTAGTCCCCCTACACTACACAACCACTATAATCTGTTACATGGTTCATACTGAGGTGTAGTATTGAAGCTCTCTTGCCCCCTTACCTGCAGAGAACAGAAGGTCTGGGTAAATGGCTCAATTCGGACCAGGTAAGATGCCACTATAATTGCTGATGAGTAGTGAGTGCAGTAATGGCACTGCGCTGACAGGTCTCCTGGAAATTGGACAGAAATCATTCCACTGCAAAATATCACCAATTCAAGTCCATAGCATCCAGTTACCATAGCACAACTAAATAGGCAGCAGGTCTGTAAAGCAGATATGTTTCAAGAATCTGTAAGCAAAAGCACACTTTGCATATTTGCATTTAACAGGGACAGTTGCTACCATCTCTGTATGTTCTTTTTTTGCCTACCACATTACAGTTTCTGAAAAATAAGGCCTTTCACTTTCTAGACCATCCCTTTCTCCATTAGTGCCAGAAAAAGTCTTGATCTCCACAGTTTAACAGCCTCAGCATCCTGTTTCCTTTTCTTAAAGTAGCTGTTAGCTAAGCTGCATGCAGCAGTATGTAGCTTAAGTATGTAGCTTAGCTAACAAATGAGACTAATGTGTTCAGCTTGGCTAACAGCACATTCTTTTCCAAGGAATATTACTTTTTGCTGTAGCCTCTCTTCCTGCCCAAGGGAAGTGGACAGAATGCAGCAGTAAAAGGCACATAAGGCAGTAGTTGCAGGAGTAATTTCTATTCGAATCCTCAACCAGTTTGTATCCAGAAGTGAGTGGATCACCTCGACATGGTGCTTCCCTTAGCCACAGTTCCGGAAAGTTTTTGGGTGACATTTTCCAAGGGATTCATGAGCATCCCTAAAGGCTTCAGGGCCTCAAGCCTCTGCTGTCTGTTAATGTCCTAAACCACTCACCCTCACTCTTCTCCACCTCATTGTAGCGCTGGATGAACTTGCGTTTCCTCTCCACAGTCTGTGCTCCCATGGGCTTCGAAAGGTCCCGAAACGTATGAGGATTAGTGAGGTTTAGTGTCTGAAAAGCAAAACCAGCAAAGATGTAGATTTTTAGAGTCTTAGACATCATGTTCAGCTCAATGACACTGGACAGCAGCACAGCTGCGTTGGAAGTTTCACCTGTACAAGGAGGTCACAGATTCATTACTAAAACTCTCATCTCCAGAACTGGGATAGCACTTGGAAAGAGTGGCAGCATGTGCCACTGAAAGATGCACAAAGAGGTTCACAAATGATCTGGCAGGTTGCAAATTGCTGTCAAGGCATTTTTCTCCAAACAGCCTTGTCAGGGGTCACAGAAACCCATCTCAGGCTGTGTGCTGAGCCAATGCAGCCTTTCCTTAACTAGATATGTCTTTAACAGATGTTCATACACCTTTCTGAGGCAGAACATGATTCCTCAGCATGCTGATTTGAAGATAAGGCTATTCTATGCAGAATCAACACATTTCAGATTAACTATCTCAAATTTAGAACCCTTGGTCTAGGCCCCTCTGCTTCAGTGGCATCATTCAACAAACCTTCATATGGCTGCTGCCACAGAAAGCACAGAAAGCTGCAGCAAGCACTGACCTCGGAGTGATAGTCAGCGAGGACCCATGGAAACACAGGATACTGCATGTAATCATTATAGCTGCGGCCAGCCAATGTGTTCAGGTACATGAGGTAATCGAAGTTGCTGATCTCCCTTTTCTGACAAAGAAAAGAAACAATTATTAAGATCTAACTCCACTCCTGAGCACCATGCCTCAAAGGTACTCTAGGAGCCCTGTGGGTCCCAGGTCCACCAGGACAAGAATTATAAATAGTGCAATTAATCATCCATTGCCATTCAGATTGGCACAATATCTCTTATACAACAATCTACTCAATTGAATCTGTCCTTATTCTGGCTCTTCCTCAGATAGGCCATCTGCATTTGTCTATAATCACACAGTGCTTTTATGCTGCATTTGCATAACAGAGCACTTTTCCCCAATTTAAAAGTGAGCCAAATGCAGGTAGTCTGCATATTGGAAAATCCTGGACAACTGCCTATACAGAAAAGGCTGCACTAAGTGCTACATATAAACAAGAAGGTATAGATTTCTTCAGTGTTTCTTGAGTTACCAAGATCAGGGGTACAGGAAAGCAAATGCATCTCTCAGCTCAGTAAAACATCTGGGAAAAAAAGAGGTGCATTGATTTAGATGTACAGATGATCTGTGAAGTCATTCAACTAGGTGGCTGTCTTTGGTCTCAGTTTAAAAATGTGCATGATATCACACTTAATCTGCCAGACAGTAGCACCATATGTTTCACAGCAGGAGGAGCAAAACCTCTGCAATAACCAGATGTAAATACTCTGCTCCTCTTGCCAATAACCTCACCTCCAGCAGCGAAACAAAAGCTTAGGCCTTGAAGTACATGCATACACACACACACCTATCTGTGTGCAGGCATACAGACAGGTACTGAAATTCTTCGCCTGACCATGTGCAGCCAAGATTTAGCTTACCTGCCACTTCTGGAGCATTGTCTTTTCCCCTCCTGAGTGCTTCCTGTATGGAACAAGCATTCAATTGAAACAGCCTGCTTCAGAACAGTAAGAGAAAGTGAACACTAACATCTGTGCTCCCTGTTCCCCCTGCTCTCATCCCACAGAAATAAGGGAACACCAAGACTAGGAGAATACTGAGGTTTTATCAGCAACCAAATAATTCCAAAACCAAAAGGTCATCAGTTAGGTTAGTGCTGCACAATCAAATTTTGTTACTGCTTTCCTTAGGAAGGAAGGCTCTGCCCGATGAACAAAGATGGTCTAGCTTCAGATAGCTGATGAATTTATCACTGTCAGTCACTTTCCCTATGACATGATGACTCTCCTACTTGCCAGTCTTCTCCTGAATGAAGTGCCACCTAAAGTACGATATTTAGTAAAGGAAAAAGAAGGAAGTAGGGTGGTGATGCTAAGGATGGATTCTTTTTGCCCTAAGATACCACTGTGAACTGTGGTGGTGATGCCATGTGGTAAAAAGAATTCAGAAGCTGACTCACAGGCAGAGAAGATGCCTCTGCAGCAGGGGCAGATGGACAGATGGGAACAGCAACCTCCTCAGCTGTTCTGAGCTAAGCCACACTCTTAATCAGTCTTTTCCCAGTCTCATCTCATTGTAGATCTAGAGTGCTAGTGACAGGTACCATTAAGGCTGTCTGTTTCTATTCTGAAGCCTGATTCTCAAAGGCTCATGCTTTTCTGAAGCGTTCTGAAAATATTGGCTTGAAGACAGAAGTGTCTCAGTCTCCATATCAATTATGTTCTTTTTGCACAAATCACTTTGAAACAAATAAGACCTTGACTGTGTGTAAGCACTGCTAAGTAATAAAACACCCCTGGGTTATTAACAGTTTTCAGCACAAACCTAAACCATAGCTCCACATCAGCTACTATGAAGAAAATTAATTCTATCCCAACCAAAACCAGCAAATGGATTGAAGAAACTTCTGATCTGCCAAAGTAAACAGGGTTACTGATGTGATATGATATAACTGGTGGTAGGAGGTTCTAAGGTGGCAGCCAGAGGCAGGACTACCAACTTCCTTAAGTTCAATTCAATTCAATCAATTCAGCCATAGATTACAAAACTGCTACAGGAATAAGTAGCTGTTACTTTGCACTCTTGTGCTCTGTATCAGATCACACTAGAAACCCACAGAAAAGGTAGGCTTAAAGCAGCCTCAAAGATCTAAATAAAACACCAGCATGGTCTATGATCATTACAGTTTTATAGAATTTGCAGTAGTAAATTCTTGCAAACAACCTCTCATGTTTATGACTCATTTTACTGCTTATTCAGTCCTGGACCAGATAATAGTGTACATGAAAGAAAAACCCTAGCATTTACTCAACACTGTATTTTATCCCGTGCTGAGGCACTCTCTTCAGAGAAAAGAGTGTATGTGAGGGAAGTATTTTACATAGCCTAAGTAATAACCTATTCCATGAACAAACATGAAACTCAGGACCAATTCTAGCACATGGTCTACAACTCTTAAACTTTTTTAGTTCTCCTGTTCAGCATATGGTTTCATAGGTTTCACAGAGCTTTGCCCCACTTTCTTTTCCAAGATCTCCAACAGATATTTGGAACTCAAAAGAGTGTATCTCAAAGGGATAGAACAGGATCAGGATTCCTGACATTGCTTGAAGTGTTTTGGATTAGGGTGTTCGTCACCAAAGTTAGGTTTGTCATCAAGTTAGTTTCTTCCCTTTCCACAAGGGCAGACTGGCTAACTAGAACCACCCAGGTTTATTTTGGATTTATGGCTGAGTTAGGAAGCAGGGAATAATATAATGTTCAAGCCTGCTCAATACATCAGTCCTCCAACATTCAAAGTAGAAGCATTATAAAATACTATACAAAGGACTAAGCTGGGCGAGTCTGTGTGTATATCATGCAAATATACATATCCTGACTTGTGGGTGCCATGACCTTCCAGTGGAACTCTTGCTCTGCTTGTCACAAACCCTAAACAGTTAATAAGGACTCAACAAGGGACAAAACAATCCTCCAATTGGACTTTGGAAGCCAACTCAAAGGTGTTGACAACTTCACTATGCCATGAAAACAGTCAAGGCTAAATGTAGTCACAGCACTGTAAGAGCTACCCTTCTGGGTCTCAGGGGACAAGGCAGGATGCTCCCTTCAACTCCCCAGAGATCTAGAATTCTATATTCTCCCTTGTTGACTCACAAAGGCTCAGAACACGAATCACATTACCAGCTCAAGCCTGTTCCTCCCTTCTCCATGGTAATCCATCAGCATTCCTCCTGCCAACACCTCTCTAGCTAGCACAGCAAAGCTCGAAGTAGATCAACTGCAGCCAATCAACCACAGTAAGTGCATTTAAAAAAAAATAGATAATCAAAGGCTGGTTTGAAATAGAAACAAAAGTGCTTTATAAATGTAAATAACTAAACTTCAAGAGGGGGTGAAGTTATGTGATGCTAAGAGGTGTGTCTGTATAGCTATCGATATCTAAATCTACAAGGTATTTGTAGGGCACCGGCCCTGGCAGAATTTAAGCATGATGTGTACTAATGATGATCCACCTTTGGCTACACTATACATAAGTGATTTATTAATCCCTCCTCCATTACCATCAGACTATGATCTCACTCTTGCGATAGCCAGTGCTCTTAATTTGCTAGAGACAGGTGGACCTCAATGCATTTGGAGATTCACTGCAGATGAGATAATCTCAAAGGATAAGATTTTTGCCCCCACTGAAATGAATCCTAAAATCTCAATAAACTTCAAGGCTTCTTAGACTTCACAAAGCTGCTTTCATTTTCTTTTTGTCTCCCATCTTCCAGACTTCTTAAGTCTGCAAAACAGTGCCAAGGCTCTCCTAACCCACTTCTCTTAAAGAATCTTTGCAACTACCAAAAATACTCTAAGGAAAATCCCCTTCCTGGTAAGCCACAACCTAGGTCCAAATCCTACTATAAAAAGAGGGAGAAAGAGAACAAAAGCAATGTCAGCTTTCCCTGTGAAACAATCAAGTCTCCCTCAAACTCAGAAAAGTGATAGGTTACCTTACTTTATTCTAAAGGTCAGTGTCCTCCTTGTTTGATTGTACCAGTCTACCTTCTAGGTATTCTGACTCTGTGCTCAAAGAATAGAGCAATATAATAAAAAAATTATAAACAAGTATAATATTCAAGTAGGGCTCCTTGAAGTAGCATGTCTTGAAGGGCCTAGGGAAGGAGAAAGGAATCTCTCTCTTTTACAGAACACTGTATGCACCATGTATACTCACAGGTTTAAACTAGAAAAAGGGATAATATTTCCACTGCAGAAATGCTGCATTCAGACACAACTTGGATTGTGCAGAAAAACATCAAGTAAATTGAATTAATTCATTGAGGTGAGCAGAATGCAATCTGCATCCCCAGAATCAGGCAAGCACGTCAACACTGGCAGTTTCTTGATGCCAATAATACCTGAAACCCATTATCAGCAAGAGAGGGATCTCAATGTTGCATCTCCTGTGAACAATATCTACCACAAAACACACAGCTACTTCTCTTCCGTAGTTCTTTTTTCCAGATACTATTTTGAAATTATTGCAACTAATTACTAAAAGTTTGAGCTTGGTAGCCCTAGTTGTAGAGAGAAATTCCAGCAAATTCACATGCTACAAAGGGAAACTTGTACCAGCTGCACTTTTGAATGGTCACAGATAGAGGAATATAAACTGCAGCTCATATCCTCTCTGCTGTGCTGCTGAATAAACCTTCCCTTCTGTGTCCTTATCTATCTGATCTGGCATATGCCAAGGGTGGTATCACAAATGTTGTGAGTTTTAACGCACACACACAAAAATATCTCACACTGTGTTATAGCCAAGTAAAATGAAATAACCAAATGACTAAAATGGACAGTTAAGGTGATGGTAGAAACTGATGAACAGCTTCTAATGAGGTCCAGATGTTTTTTTCTTTCTGCATAGTTTGAAATCTAACGTTTCCAGGCACTGCGTGTCATTCAGTTCTTTTCCCTCCAGCTTGAACTTGCATGCTGGAACCAAACATTATGCTGATGATCTCCAAGGACTTAGCATTGTTGTTGCTTAGGAACGAAAGGTTCACAGGCAGTGGAAGAAGAATTGAATAGAAAGACTGGAGCGGAGGAAGTCCTTTTTGCCACTCCTCCTCCCTCTGCACACTCACATACACAAGTTTCTTGAAGGGCTGCCATTTTCCATCAAGGAAGTATGATTCGGAATTTGCAGGAATGCAAAAAGGAAATAGTCCTGTGCTGTCTGCTCACGTGTTTATTTACAGACTGAAAGACTAATTCATGACTCAGAGAAGAGTTGGCAGAGGACAACTGCACAGTAACGAAGGTTCATCCTGCACTACTGAAAAAAGCCCCAAGGAGCTTGTGACATCTATACCTCACCTTGTAAGTCTTCCTAGCTGCTAGCCAGTAAGATCTTATGCAGGGGGGCAGTGTGGGAGAATTGTAAACATGAAATTATATTTTTATTAACTCTTGGTGGGCGTTGGTTTTATAAGGGACCTTGCACTGTGTGATACCTCTGAAGTGATCTAGAAAAGTAAGAAAAATAAGGAAGAAAACCTCTTTTTTCCTACTTGCTCATGGCAGGATTTAGTATAAACCTCCCTTTTAGCAAGAGACTGCATTTTAGATAGTCAGTGAATAAATCTCTCTTCCACAACAGGTTATATCCAACAACAAAGAAATGGTAAGAGTCTTGTAAGCAGGGAAATAAAAACCTACTGTAGCTGGAACTGCATTGATTCATGAAAAATCATTTAGTATAAAATTTTGGGTTTAAGTTTTATATGAAAGCACCAATAGGCCAGGTTGGACAGGGCTTTGAGCAACCTGGTCTAGAGGAGAGTATCTCTGTCCCTGGCAGCATGGTTGGAATTAGAAAATCTTTAAGGTTCCTTCCAACCCAAAATATTCTATGACCCTACGATTTCCACAGAACTATTCTATGGGTGAATTAGAACACGTCACCTCACTGCTTTCCTGCCCCCAGAGAGGTGTAGAGCATGTGTAACTCTGTTGGACTTGGCAAGCCTGCTCTGTAATACACAGGCTTTTAGGAAGAAAGAGAAAACTTTTCTCACAGACTAGTTCAAGATGAGATCAAAATGGCTCTGTGCAGCTTTGGGTGCAGTGAAGTAGGAAGCAGGAACCTATGAGAGGAAAAGAACAGGCATAGAGTTAGAGGTCCTGAAACACCCAGACAGTGTCACAGGCAGAAGGCTTGTTCTGTTCCTACCAGCCCTATATTGAGAAAAGAAGGAAGGTTCAGGTAGAAAATATGCATCACCAGGGTCCAAATCTGTATTCTTCTAGGACTGGATCTCCTTAAAACAGACTTAAGCTACAATTGGTCATGACTAGGCCCTGTGGAAGTGCTTAAGTGCAGTTAAGGAGTAATCTCCAATCCTCCTTTGCCTCAGAGACACACTGACAGTTTTAGCCCTTATGGCCAAGGTCTGTTCTGCTCCTGCAGCTCCCAGCAACACAGAGCACCACAGACGGCATGATGCCCCTGACACATTTTCTATTTATTTCTGTATCAGTTTAGCCTCAAAGGTTTGTGCCTGTGAAACACTCCTAAAGCTCTGGGGTTAGCCCTGGGCTTTCAAAAGCCAGATCCAGACCAAAGATTTTACCAAGTGCAGATAAAACAGGAAAGCATTTTCTAGTTAAGATCCTCTTTAGCAAGACCTTATATCACATAGAAACACCCCACCTCTGGGCAAAGGCTTGCCAGCAACTCAGAAGGTGAACCTGGCAGTGGGGTGAGGGTTTAAAGCAAGTAAGAGAGTTCTCTCTTACCATGATTTCATAGGTAGCAGGGCAACACATGTACCTCTTCCTGTGCTATTCCAGAAGATGCACCGTGAGCATGAGATTGAACAGGCATAATTAACATTTGCAGCAAGGAGGACTCCTGCGATTCCTGAATTTTTAGTATCAGTGGCTACAGAACTGGAGACCTTATATATATAGACCTAAAGAAAATGAGATGTGGCTAAGTAAGCTCTACTATTTCCAGCTACAGCCCTGTGAAACATTGATAATCTGTTTACAAGCATGCAGAGACAGGAGAGCTATTCACATCCCCTTTCAGTCGTCCGGTGAGCTGCAGTGTTTCTGCAGACTTACTCTAATCCCTATCTTTGGGATAGCAAATCACCTTTTCTGAGTTTGAAACATGGCTCCAACTTTTAACCCAAAGGAAATAGCATTTGGAAAGCATGAACACTCCCTAGGGACTCATATTTTCCTGATCAGTGCCTCTTAGAGGTCCACAGTAGGATTTAAAAAAAATCCAACTAAAGGAGGCATTTAATCTCTGATGTCTGGGCATTATCCAGCACATCATACAAAGACATCTATCTTCAGGAAAATTGCGCCGATCTGCTTGTTTGGACTTCTTAAGAATCTGAAAGGTCCAGTTTCAAACTTCGTAACAACTTGGCAAAGGTTACTGACAGCGTAGAACCCGAACCCAAAAGGTTAAACTCCACTGTTACTCCTGAAAAGCCTGCCGCGCTCAACCTTGTACACCAAGCTCCCTCTAGTGCTCCTAGGCCCGCGCAGCACGGAGGGACACCGACGCTGGGAACCAGCATTATCAGGCAGCTGCAGAACAGGCTGACTTCTTGGCTAGCTGGCATTCTTCAGAAAAGAACAGGTTTGAATCAGTGTTTCCCCCTTGGATGAAATGTAACAGAAAAAAAATATTAGGAGCTGAGCAAAATGTTTTCTTTCTGAGAGTTTTAAAGATGTTTTAAAAAGTGTTATAAAATAAATTCAAATTTTTAATTAAAAAAAAAACAAACCCTTGAGGCTCCCTTTCATGTTTTTAAAGACAAACTTGTCTGAAAAGCTTCACTGATCAAAATGTTTAGGTCAACTCATCCAACACAAAAACAGACAAAGAGAAAGCTGGACCAGGTCATAAGGTTCACATCATTTGTGGGAAGCAGAAATGCTCTTTCCATCATGAAGAAATGCAAGGAAGCTGCCCTGCAGATCTTTTTCTGAAACATGGTAGTCACCCTCTGTTCACTGGTAAGAGACTTATGGCATCCTTTACCACCAGCAGGGCTCTGGCATTTCCCATGCAGCTGAACTTCATTGCAGAATTGCCAGCAAGAATATTGCATCAAAACCTTAAAATGAGTGAACTGTGATAAAAAAACGCTGTTGTTTTAATCTTTAGAAATTCCTACCCACTCCTTGGTAAGTTATTTAAACTAACATCAACAAAGGTAAAAAAAGTGCTTGATTTTTCACTGTAGGGTACTTAAGTTACCAGTCTATACTATAGAAATAATAGAATTAGTATTGCCACAGGAACACTCTAAGGCTACATAGAGCAAAGACTGAGAGGGCTTCAGATAAAATGGTAACATGGCCCTGTAAGTACTAGTGAGAGACAGAAATGTGGGAGTGACAGACATAGAAAGATTTAACTGTGTCTAAATATTTTTGTATAAAATAACAAAGATTCAATTTGGGAACATACCCTTAGGGCAAGACTGACCCCACTGTTCTGCTTCCAGGATTTTCTAAAGCATCTACCTCATTACAGAGCTCCTGGGAGGTTGGATGGTAACTGGCAGGCAACCCCCTTGCTTATGCATTACTTTGGGTTATCACATGTAATTGAAAAGGAGCTCAAGTGCCTTAGCTGTAGCCTGAATTCCCCTTTCATGTATTTGCACATGATTAATGAGTAGCCAGAAAGCCTCAAGGGTTTGTAGTGAAGCCTTTCTAATAGGGAAATGTATTGTTGACAAATCCACATTTTATCCTAAACAACCATTCATCAAAGCTGTGATTTGAATCTTATCTCAATTAAATGCCAGAGCACCAGTACCATCTGTAACCCATGCTCCTTTCTGTGTTCTGGTTTAGAGTGACATTGTTGTCCATTTTCAAGGAATCAGCTATTATTTCCTTTGTCACTAGCCATAATTAGCAGCTGCATATGGTGACCTTTGATTAGAGAGATAGTTCATCAAACCTAAGACTACAGTAGACTACTACTCATACAGGACTCAGTTCAACAAAGCACATGACACATGCTGAGAGCATCAGTATGAATCAAAAGTTTGACCACAACACTTACATGCATTTTTTGGGAACAGAGTGCTTTGGTATTGGGAGTTCATCCATCCCACAGCATGGCTGGAAAGGCAAGGTTAAGCAGCTCTGACACAGGCCTCCTGTTACAGTCTGCCCTGCAAGGGATGTGTGAACTGCAAGCAGTCTGGCAAATCTGGGAGCCTGCTATATTCCTGGTTTAAACAATACTCTTTATCATTTGTTTTAAATACGTCAATCTTCCAACATCAGACAGCCCAAAACTTAGGTCCATTAAACAAGACATTTAATCAACCTGTCAACAGCTGCCAGGCATATAAGAAGGCAACTCGGTCTGGGATAATATGTACAATTTTGGATAACTTTTTTTAGTGCAGGCCTAAAGTGTAGGCCTGGATTGAGACCCACAAAACATCTTGCTCAGGTCTTCAAACAGCTGATGGATAATAACACATTTCATTCAGTTTCATTACATGCTGAGCTCAAATCAGTATCTAGGGATGAAAGGAATAATTTCACCTTGTAATGTAATATAGGTGCTACAGTGCAATAAAACAATGATGTAAATTGTTAGAATTTCACCTACTAAAAGTATTTTCAGGAAGGGCTTTCAGTCTTCCAGCTTCAGGGTTGAAAAGTCCCGATCTCAACAAAAAACTCAACAAACTCTGAAGAGTCCAGCAGTAAAATTTTAACTATGTGATTACTTTGTTTTTAATTAGAGACAAGCAGTCACTGCTTTCAAAGGCTTTACAGGAGTTTCTACACTTTATCCACAGAGTCTGGTGTATCTGTCTGTCTTTTAGTGAGAGATGGCCAAGGGGAAACCAAAAGGGAAGAAGATCACCTTGAAAATTGCCAAAAATTCCATCCGGATAGCTCCTGATGGAGCACGTCGTCTTGACTTAAGCAAGATGGGTATCACTACCTTTCCCAATTGCATTCTAAAACTGGCTGATGTGGATGAACTTGATTTGAGCAGAAATATGTTAAAAAAGATTCCAAACAGCATCCAGAAGTTTGAGAAACTGCGCTGGCTGGACCTGCATACTAATCAACTTGAGGACTTGCCCAAGGCAATAGGTACACTTCAGAACCTCTTCTACCTGAATATATCCAACAACAAGCTGACCACCAAAAATTTGCCAGAGGAGCTGAACCTTCTCAAGAACCTTCGTATTCTCAACCTTGGCTTGAACTGTCTTGACAGTATTCCTACCAGCCTTGGGGCCTTGAAGGAACTTCAGGAGATAGGTCTCTTTGACAATTCCTTGACCACCATCCCAAACAGTGTGAAAAATCTTCCCAAGCTCAAGAAACTGAGTGCAGACAGAAATCCTTTTCCAGATTCAATAGAGCAAGAAGAGTATGCAGACTCCATTAAACGCATAGAAACCCTTTACTTAGTACAAGAGAAAGACCTGTGCTCTTCCTGCCTGAAGGTGTGTCAGGGTGAGAAGGACAAGCTGAGTAAATTAAACAGTGAGACACCTAGCTCTTCAAAGAAGCTAAGTTTCCCTTTACTCCTTACACCCAATTCCACTGCAAAGGATAACCAAGAAGAATGGAGATTAAAAGACATACAGGCTTGAAACATACCAAGGTACTCCACAGACCATGTTCCATGAAGTCCAGCCCAAGCTAATAAAAAGCTGACCTTCCTCCTCCCTTTTTCTGCGGTTCTCTTTCTTTAAAGATCTATTATGTTTTAGAAGCAGCAGATCTCTGTCTCCAAACCGACTAAACCAGATGGATATTTGGGAAAAGGTTCATTTGGGAAAGGAAGGACTGTTTCCATCTGGGCTGTTTCTACAACATATTCTCCCTCTTTGGGCTTGTTTGGTGGTTTTTGGGTTTTTTTTGGCCTTTTGTGTGCGCACATGTCTGGTGAGGGAATCTTTAAAAAAGATAGGGTTTTTTTCTAGTAACTTCACTTGCACTCCACTGAGCACTAAACATTAGTTCTGTCCATTTTCTAGAGTGAGACACAGTTGAACTAGTCTAGGTAAATAATGTTTGGGGGAAAAGGAACAGACCTGGAAAGTTCTGCTGCTGATGGCTGTCACCAGCCCCTCAGACAATCTCAGATAGGCACTATGATAAAAGGAACTATGAGCCTGTTCCAATTCAGCATAGGCAGCAGACACAAACATTACACTTAGGAGGAATTAAGCAGTGCAAGCACAATCTTAAAAGCTAAAAAACAGTGATCCTTCTTGCCATCAAGGGGCCAGATTCTGCATAAGCAAGTTCTCTGTGATTTTGAGTGCTATACCTTGGTGCAGTGGTCTCTAACTTGCATGACACAATCAGCATCACTACCTATACTCATCATGTTTCATCTGCCTCTGATTCTCCCTCCAAGGAACACACAGAAGGGAGGAGAAGTAGGGAAAAGATTGCTCTTTCTAAATGTTCTGGGTGTATCACTTCAGTAATGCTTAAGAGAAGAAAAGTCACCCTCTTCCATGATGCAAGAGGCAACTGGTGAATTGATGAAATCAGGTCTGGTGTCCCCACAGTACTTTTAGCTGTCTGTTCACATGTGCGCATGCACAAGTGCACCTAAGCACATGCATTCACTTGCTCAATCACATCCCTAGGGCAGAGGGTGCTGACAGCCTGCAAATAGCAACGTACAGGTATAAGTAATGAGCAATTTATAAAAGCAATCAAGCATGACATGAGAAGAGGTGCTGTCTGTGGCTGCAGTAACACACAGTAACAGCAAACATTTAAGTATATTTAAATGAAGCATTACTGTTTTTAAATGGCTACAGTAGAGTCTGCGAGTCAGAACTGTGTATTATTCCTATGAACTAGGTGAAAAAAGTATATGGCATTTCCCAGAAATATTATCACCTCAACATCATATGATACATCAAACTAGCAATTACTTTTTTCCATGCATCAGCTGTGCACTTATTAATAGTGTGTCTGGGCAAATAGCTTTGTTTGGCCTGCCTCCCTGTTTCAGGTAGGGCAGGAAAAGCTGGGATGCTATGGAAACATGGCCATTGCCCCCTAGATGGGGAAGAAGCCCCTTGTGCTGCTCTTGAATTTTTCTAACTCAGAAGAGGCTCCAGAATTCAAACGAGGGAAAAGGGAAGCATGCCCACTGGGGTAATTTTCTCTAACTTTTCACTTAGGAGCTGCTTTTCTTAGGCAGCGGCAGTATCTTCTTTATTTTATTTTAGCTCGTGCTCTAACATGGCCCTGCCAAAGCTATGGCAAAGGCAGCTTACATTCTCAAATATGCTAAAAATGCATAAGGTCCTCTCTCAGCAAGTGGAGTAAAACTGGAGGCAGAGCCTTACGGAATTCAGGACAGGCTACTTTAAACCTAGACATACAGCCTGCTTCGGTCGCCAAGACATACACAAGTCAAATGTTTCTCACAATAATCATGAGCCCAGCTAAAGCCCAGAGTTCCTGCAGCCATAGGAGATCTTATCTCAAGACATTCCCACCTGTTGGGCACCCAGCAAGAACAGGGAAAGGAAATCCTGGGGAGAGTTATTGATTACTCCACACAGAACATCTCCATAGAGTCAACCATCACCTCTGGCATAGGTTAGGCTCTAGCCAGAGTTGGTTGCACACTGCACCTACATTTTTTTGTGAGCTGGTGGCTGGTACCTAAGGGTGAAAATGTTCTCTTACAAGATCAGTAATGATCTACAACAGAGTGAAAATGAAAAAGAGTACAGCTGACACAGGACACAACAATTCATAGTGTTAATCTGCCCCTCAGGTCTCAACAGATTCTGGCCTCCAGGTGATCACTTCAGGGGGCACCAGGTAGGCACTTAGGGTTGTGTTCCTCAGATATCCAAACTGAGAAGAGCTACAGGTATGCAAGTAACTCAAGGTCAGCATGGAACATATTCTCAATCACGTCCCACCAGGAGAAAACTTTTTCCTACAGTGGTAAATCTGAGGGACGAGTTGGAATCTCCACCGCACAGTTACTACCACATACCGAAACTTCCATACGTACATCTATCACTGTCCACACAACAAAGAGGCCATTATGCAGAAGGGTTATGGATTAGCCCTAAACTCAGCTCACTCTCTGCCTCTTTCCCACGCTAGCCATCTGTGTAGAGTTTACTAATGAATCATATTAGGGAGATAATAATTATTAATCAACTATGCACAACCAGCTACTCAACACATTCTTCATGTTTTCATACTGTGGACATTGCACTTCAGAACACTTTTCAGAGTTCTGGGGATAGCTTTCAGTCTTTAAAATAGGGGCACAAATAGGTAAGTTTCTAGATGCTTTTTTTAAGGTGCAAATTATTTACACTTGTTTTATAATTGCACTTATCTACAGTTATCCAATGTTTCTTATGTTTTACCTTATATTCAGGGACTCTTCTGTTATCCCCTTTGACTTCAAAGCAGGTTGGAATGAGCAAAATCTACAGAAGATATGAAAGGTCACATTATAACAATTTAAATGGTTATCTGTACACATTACATTTGTATATGTAATCTTGATCATGTCCTGATAGCAACTTTCTTTCTGAAAGACACCACAGCATTTCACTGAGACTCTAACCTAGGATAGAGCTGCAAGACAACACAGCAAAAGTAATAGGAGGAACTTCAGTGATTGCTTAAAAATTAACAGTACCAATCCTCAGTCCAGAATGCAGAATTTACCAGAAGTACTACATATTGAAGTATTTTTCTTGTGTAAAGGATGGTGAGAGTAAACCTGATATAACTGCCGGAACTGCAGTAGGGAAAAAAAAGAGCAAGAAAACAAAGTGCAAATTATTCACTTCATAGTCTTACATTAAAGTTCCAACAAACAAAACAAGCACATAAAGTGAATTCTTTTAAAACAAAACTTCCACTGTTAGAAGTCAGCTGCACACCAAAATCAGAGCCAGAGGAAAAAAAAAAAAAAACAAAACCAAACATCTTATCCCTAAAGAATCTAATGAAACTTTCTATATTAGAAGAAAACAAGAAAAAAAACTCCTTTCATACAGTACTGTGAAGTGAGATGGAGGCGGCTCTTAGTGAAAAGCAGCAACACATCTATAACTGCAATTTCTTGGGATGCAGGAACATACAACACACTCCTGGGTGCTAGAAGAGTCCTACACATGCATTAGCTGCCGTATTAAATCAATGGCTCTGAAGAACTTACAGGTCAGCAAAAGGAAAATTTCATGGCTTTGCTTGAGTTTAACTCATTAAAGACCAAGGAGCTGCGATTGAAGAAAAAGCCCCTGGGACAGAACAAGACAAACACTTGAAGCTAGGATAAATGATTACCTCTTAAATATCTTATTTCGGTCACTGTCGTGGAAGACAAGAAATTTGGAATAGCCATTTTTGAAGAATATTTCCAAGGCGATCTCCTGGAAAGGTAAATTTACAGTTTGAAGAGCTGCAGAGCAAACCTGTTGCTGCAAAGAGCCTGTCATGGCCTGTCCAATTCTTCAGGGCTTTAAAAATGAAAAGTTGCTGACTTTGTATCAGTGTGAAGAAGTAGAGCAAAATATGCCGAATATCCCAAATTTCTCCAACTGTAAGAATGGTCCTATTGGGTTGATTAGTTCATTCAAATGCCTTGAGGAAAAAACAAACTCCAGATATTAGCTCCATCATCTGCCTCTTCCTGCTGCTTTCAAAGCATTTTTCTTGAAATCTCAGTGTGATTTACAAGACACTAGTAGCATTAATTTATAATTAGTGATAAAGATAATATGAAAAGGGAATGTTAAATAACAGCTTCTTTAAGAAAGCAACCATGCTGCTTTCTAAATGAAGAATGAATTCAACAGAAATGCCAAAATAGTTTCTTCTGGCCAGAAGCAGCAAGGCAGGTATGTGAGTCTGTAATATTTCTCATGTTTTAAATAATCAAAGTTGAAAAATGATCCCCTTCTTTCCCCAATGTTTCCACACATTGTTATATTGGGCATTTGCATATAATCCTTTTATTTTCTCAGTAAGTGGGTTTTTTTTTGTCCAAAGTCAGCAAGTCAAACCCAGACATGAGTTTTAATCCAAATGTGGCAGGTGCAATACAAACCTAGAAAAACACCACAATGGCAACTGCCCCATGCATGATTCACAAATGAAGTATAATGCAGAAAGGTAATATGAGAGCAGCTACAACAAGAAACAGCTTACTCCACTTGCTCTGAAGTTCAGCTTTCCAGACCAAGCCTGCTCAAGTGTCAGCATTACAGAACTGGGCCGTGTAGTTTCACAGTGCTTTGCTCTGAGCTGTATTATGTGCATGAACAGGAGATCAGCTCTTTGAGGCACAGCAGCTGCCCTAACAGCTGATCCACCTGCCTTGCAGGGAAAGCACAAGAAATCAGTTTTCTTCTTTTACCGCAATATTTTTTTCAAAGCAGTTCGTGCCATGGAGTCCCAGTACAAGATTTTGAGAGCCTGATACAGATACCCGTGTTTTCAGTTCATTAATTGAAGCATAACAAAGCACAACAAAACCAAAATAAACAAACAAAACCCTCACAAAGAACAAACCACAAAGCCCCCTCAAACAGCAAGCCCCACGTCTGCCCCAGGCCCACTCAAAGACTGTTCATAATCACCTCCGTTTTTCATTTTTGGTCACACAAAGCATTTCCAATTTACATGTTTAAAAAAATCTATGCATACACAGA